TACCCTCCCGTTCCGTGCGCTTAAGATTGTCAAATCGATGCCATTTCGGGGGCATTGATCTCATATCCAGGTAATCCAACTCCAGTGGATAGCCGTATATATTGAGATAGGGTGAGCCGTGGTAGAAGTGGTAATCAGGTAGGGCTGGTAGACCACGTGATTGAACCCATTTATTATAGGCTGACCAGTGGTCCCGGACGGCTAAGTTGAGCGCCTGTCGACACCGATTCCACTCGTTTTGGTGACCGCTGAGGCCAATGGATGGCAATCCTATAGAAAAATATAAATATTTAATAAATATGATACAAATTGTATGAAAATATTAAATTTAATTTGTAATTTGTAACAAAAATATCATAAACTGTAATTGTATCAATACACATATGATTATTATTTTGTTTTAAGCATTTTAAAATACTTTAGTTGACTCTCATCTCTATCTTTTTATTTTATAATAATTTTAATTAATTTTATTGAATTAAAGTGTTGTAGTAATTTAGTACTGTTAGCAACTTGTTATTTGTGGCTAAATATTGAATATTCTAGTTTAAAATTTAGAATAAATAATTTAATTTAAATATTAACTAAATCAAACTGTAACACTTTCAATAAGCTTATGTAATTATATAGTTTGTATTTAATTTCCAAAATTTTGGGTAAACCATTTTTGGGACTATAACTACAATTTTAATTATAGAATTATTAGGCTAAAACTAAGTTGTTATTTTAATTTTGACATCATGTAATACTATTTAAAATAACTAAATTTATATTTACCTAATCCAGGCGGTGGTACCCGTTCATCATACCCGGCCATCAATGGATTAAAACTACAGGTAAACACCCAGGGTATACCAGACCTTGCTACCGCGGGGATCTCAAAGGCCAGATCCACGACAATAACATCGGGTGCTATTTGCACCAATAGTTTCTCAATCACCGGATCCATGGCCTTTGTTTGCTCAATGATAACGGGATATAAATTTTTCTGTATACTTATTAGAGTTTCCAAGGGATCGGTAGCTTTAATAGCGCCTACATTCACGAATAGCTCGGACCAGTACTGAGCAGGGTCGACATTTTCCTGACGTCCCGGTTGAGTAAGTAGTACCTCTTGGAAGCCGTACTTAATTAGTCTACCTTTCCATTGGTTATTGATGGCGAATATACACTGGTGCCCGGCATCTAAAAGTACCTGGGCTATGCCAATGGCCGAGTTTACATGTCCAATGGCGTCCACGGGTATGAACAGAATTTTCAGTTCTCCGGTCATTGTGTTGTAATATTATATAGTTTTAATGAAAATGTTTTTAAAACTTTTAAAAACTTTTAGATTAATATAAAACTTTTTAAACTGTAGTCTAATAAATGTTTATTTAAATATTTATAACACCAAATAAATATTATTAATTACTAGAGTACACAAAAATGGTGAATACTAGTTTCAATTAAATTATGCTTGACACACTAACTTATATGTATTTCCTTTTTCACTTTATATATAACATACTGCACAAACTGTAAATAGCTATTCCGAGTGACAAAAATGTAGAGGTTTTTGTTTATACAATATGTATGGTACTAGCTGTAAAGGCGATATTATATTTATAACAATTTTAAAATTTTAAATTATTTTACACAATAAAGATAAATTACTCATAATAAATATTAATCAGTCTAAAATTTTTTTTTTGAAATTTATTAGATTTTCTCACAAAAAAAACATTTATAATCCCATAGTAACTCTATGGGAAGATATACTGTATGTTTGT